GAAAACCCCTCAGAACCAGGAATCCTAAATTAACATTTGTATTTTCATGTTAACTGTTGATGCCCACATCAAGTTAAAACAGTACATTATTATTTTTCAACTACTGAAAATTCTTTCGATTAGGTGACACATACCAGTGATTCCCAAACTGGTTCACAGGGCCATGGTAATGGGTCTGCAGATGGTACCTAGATCACACAAGATCCTGCATTCCTTTGTTGTTTTCAGTTAATGGCTTGATGATAGAGGTCTGTGGTGATTTGGAAGAAACTTTAAAGCATTGCAGTGGCCTTTTCTATCTACCCCACTCTAAAGCAGAGCAATTCTCTGCCATTAAAAGATAAAATTCAGAACTCAATACCAAGTGGAAATATCACTCAGCTAGTACCAGGAAAATATCGTAGTTCAAAACAAAGGAAGTCTCTTGTATTAAGCCAGTAAAACATTCTACTACTAAAAAAATTGTTGGGTCTTTTCATTATACTGGCAAATAGAGTTGAACTGTCTTACTGACAACAACCCACTTATATATAAACTATTTGGGGGTTGATTTGTTTTTATTTTGTTTTCCTGTTTCATTGCTAACCATTGATCTAAAGTTATCTAGGGAGGGACTTGGCTATTCATAAACTTCAAACATGTCATATAATATAATGATTCTTTCCATATCGGGACACACCCTGCTCTAAACCCCACCTATTTACTCAAAGTAGAGACATGACTCTCTACGCGGCCCACTTACAATGTGAAAAGTAGGCTGGTCATGACACTTTGACACCTGTTTTATGGTGGAAAGTTCATTGTTGTGGACTGAATCCCATTCTCGGCAACACATGAAATATCAACAATGACAATAAAATACATTTGTGCAGACAGCATGCATAAAGCTTAAGAAAGTGTACTGATATTTGCAATCTACAATTCTTTAGCTCATATAATACACATACTTCATAGAACTTATTGTTTTATCTAGTTGATAATCAAAACAGTCCCTGAAGTACAGGTCTGGAGGGCAAAAATCATTCTGCCTCATCATCCAGTACCACCCATAAAATTGTGTGGGAGTGAAAGAGGGCCTCTGCAGGCATGGAAATAATATCTTGGCAAGAGCAACTAAGTTTGAGTCAGAGAAGTAGTGAACTTGCAGAGCTCAGTCACAGTCTAGACTCCAGTGAAAGAGAAGATAAAGCATTATTCACTGAAAGACTTGGGAATGAAATTGTCTCTGGGATTGCTGTGTTAAAGGTATCAGTGAGGCAAAACATTACTCAGAGATGCAGAAGTTAGACGGTTGGAGGTGGGGTGGGCTGGAGAGCAAAGGTGTCATCGTTTTTATTTATAAAGAGTTTAAGACTTCAATCTCAATCACCAGCAATTTAACTCCTTTCCATTTAATTCCCAAATGTCTGCATTTCACTGTGCATTTTGCAATTTCTTATCTCCAAATCTTTGGAGCAGTGAGAGCAGCCTGGGGCATAGAAGTAAATACAGAGTTTGTAATCATTGCATATTGACACTAGAGAAATTCAGGACATGCCTTCATAAAGAATTTATTCAAATAGTTTAAAACAGGACTGTCCAACTCCCAAACCCTCTTCTCTGAAGGAGTACTTCCAGGGGCAAGGGGAGGGACTTCCGGTGGCAAGGTTCAGATGTCAGGGACAGGACTTCTGGTCTTAACATGGCGAACAGGGGGCAGGGCACCTGTCAAGGGGCGGGGTTACCCATGTGGCCCTCGACAGCTTACTAAGCAGCCCTCCACCCAAAATAATTGCCCACCCCTTTCTTATGACCTCATTTGCCTGATCCAATGAAAGCCAGCAACTGTTGGCTGCCAGCCAACCAATTTGAAGTACATCACTGCTTGCCAAGTAGACTGGCATGTATCACCTATGCTCCATTTGCCCCCTCACTCGTCACCTATGCCCCCTGCCATAGACTTACCTGCAGGGGTCTACAGGCCTGGCTACTTTGCTGGCCACGTGCATGTGTGCGCTCACACATGCACGTTGCACCCCCTACCTCTGATCGCCCTTCCCCGGGCCCCAAGCAGCCCCATGCAAGCTAGAACTCTGCCAGCCTGCAAGGGGCACCCTGCAGTTTTCTGGTTTTTTCTCCTTTAATGGGGAAAATCCATGGGACATGGAAAGCCCAGATTCTTAGTGATGAGGCTACTATTGTGAGACTTTTAGATATAGTGTTCTCTCTTTCATTTATAGTTCTGGAGTAGCTGCTTTGATACATTTTTACATTCAGATATTATCTGAAACATTTGACTCAGTTGATATACCAATGCTCGGAGTATGGGGAACAAACAGGAGGAACTCGCACTCAGAATAGCCAATTCAAACCCAGACATAGTGGGGCTTACAGAAACATGGTGGGATTCATCCCATGACTGAGCAGTTAGCATTAGGGGCTATAGGCTCTACAGGCAGGATAGAGAAGGAAGGAGGGGAGGGGTGCGGCGCTCTGTCAAAGTGCAATACATAACTTCTGCCAGCAAAATGGGGTCGGAGGAGGGGCATGCTGAAGTGCTCTGGGTCAAGATACAAGGGGGTCGTGGGGAGAGGGATTTAATGGTGGAGGTCTACTATAGAGCCCCCAACCAAGGGAAGGAGCTGGACCGGGAATTTTCGGGCCAGCTTGCAGAGGCACTTAAGGCAAGGGATGTAGTTGTCATGGGTGATCTAAATTACCCGGACATCTGCTGGGAGAAGCAGTCAGCCAGGTCGGACCATTCCAGGAGGTTCCTGGCCGAGATACAGGACCTCCACTTAACCCAGGAGGTGCACAGTCCCACCAGAGGAAATGCCCTGTTGGACCTGGTCCTGGCCACAGGCGATGATCTGGTAAGGGGGCTCCAGGTCCTTGACCACCTGGGTGATAATGATCATCACTTGTTGGAATTCATCATCCAGGGCATGGTGTCAAGGGCCTGCAGCAAGGCGGTAGCCCTAGACTTCAAGAGGGCCAACTTCAACGAATTGAGGAGATTGGTGGGAGAGGCGCTGGGGTTCTTGAGGGCAGGGGAACTCAGTGCCCAAGATGAGTGATCGTTCCTTAAGGAGACGATACTCAGGGCCCAAGGGGTGACAATCCCAACAAGAAGCAAGGGGGGCAAGAGTGCCCGAAAGCCTCCCTGGCTCACCGAGGAAGTCCGGGAATGCCTGGTTGCCAAAAAGCCAGTGTACACCCGGTGGAAGGGGGGCTATCTCCAAAGAAGAGTATACCTCCACTGCTCAGGCCTGTAGGGGGGCTGTTAGGAAAGCTAAGGTGGGCATAGAGCTAGGACTAGCGTCCAAGATCAAAGATAATAAAAAGTCCTTTTTCAAATATATAGGGAGGATGAAGATGGCACTGGGAAATGCGGGGCCCCTGCAAGATATGCTGAGCAATCTGGTGGTTGTGCCAGAGGAGAAGGCAGACCTCTTTAACAAATTCTTCACCTCCGTTTTCTTGTGCAGGGACCGGGACTCCCCCACCGTG